GCCTTGGAACTTAACATAGGGACTACCATTACATGTTTAGACCACCAAAACAATTAAGAATCAAGGGTGAAAGTGAGTTCACGGCCAAGGAAGTTTTTGGGTCGTGAACTCCATTTTAAGTGGAAAAATGCCCTAAACCCCCCCCCCCCCTTAAGCCAAGAGACTAAATTGGACATGTACCTAAATGCGTTTAGGACTAGCAAACACACTTAGAACACCAAGAGTAAGGTTTTCACGGCCCAAAAAGTTCTAGGGCCGTGAACTCCATAAAATGGTGCCAAATGGTGCCATAAACTCTTCTAAAGCCTAGTACAAAAGCCTAGTTTAGTTCCTAGTTAATTTAGGGACTTAAAAACACCATAAACATCCTCCCAAGGGAGATTACGGCCGTAATCTCCAAGGAATATGGTCCCAGGGCCGTAAACTCCTAAAAGGAGTTATATTATGCCTTAAACTCTTCTAAGGACCAATCCATTAAGTAGAAATGCTTCTTAGGACCTTATAGAGCATCAAACATCAAATGGACACATAAGTATGAGCTCACGGCCGTAAACTCATGTGTTTACAACCGTAAACTCACTTAGTAGGGTCATTAGGGCCATGAACCTCATGGTGGAGTATTCCTTGAGCCCTACACACAATAGCTTCCCCTACAAACACTTAGATGCAATCCTAGAGGCTAATAACACTTGTTAAAGGTGTTTAGCATGTCCTAGGGTGTCTTCACTTGTTTATTAGTTGTATATAAACTAATTTGTTACATATATGTGAATTTATATGTTAACTAGGACCATAGAGTGTGTTCAAGACTTCACTTGACACCTAGCAGTCCTACCTCTTCAGTTCATTCCAATCACTTACAACAGGTGAGTTCATACCCCTTAATCAATGTTTTAACTATTTTTAAATGTTTTATGGGGTGGGGGGATACAAGTAGGATCATGCTAGTTACTATATCAATCACATGTGATTAGTAAGCAGCATTCAAATGATTGGCTACTCATTAGCCGTTTTACTAAACAGTTCCTTCAAATGATTTTGATAAACATTTTATATGATTAAAACTCCTTATTAAGTTGTACATTTTACTCTGTACGCTTCATTTCAAACTCATTTACAATTGTGTTTCAAACAAATGTTCCTTTATACTTAAACTGTTTTATCAAACCCATGCTTTCAAACCGTTTTATAGATTGACATCAAGTCAATCTTTTCTTAGATAATAGTTATGTTTAAAGGTTTTACAAAACTTATTTTATACTTTTATATTATAAATTGCATGCCTATATATGTATAGTTATATAAGAAATGTTGAAAGGACTTAGGAAGGCTATCCACCCTATTTCCTTTTCGCGCTTGATATGTGGTCTGGTGTGGTATCGTGTACCCATCCGAATGTCGTTTAAATATTAGTTATATATCCTATGTACATATAGAGTCATAAAGGTTCTTCCAGTTCATTTAATACCCTTGGGTAGCCAGGGTATACATCCATGTTCATACATACCAGTTACATTACTAGTAAGCTACCATAGGGGTAGTTTAGGAAGATATTAGAACCATTACTAGAATGCAATATCATACAATGAGTTAGTTCATTCATGAGTCAATACTTGCTAGATAGAGAGAGAACACACATTACAACTAACACACGCAGAACATTACAGTACATTACTTTACAATTACATGAGTATGTTTACATGATCACATTTACACGAGTACATTTACATTGATACGTTTACATAGAGATCCTGTTATAAGCATGCCTATATATGTATAGTTATATAAGTAATGTTTAAAGGAATTAAGAAGGCTATCCACCCTATTTCCTTTTCACACTTGAGATGTGGTCTGGTGGGATATCGGGTACCGTCTGAAGGTCGTTTAAACATTAGTTATATATCATGTCTACATATATGGACATAATAGTTCCTCTTATTCAGTTCAGTACCTTTGGGTAGCAAAGGCATCCGTTCATATACTTTTACATGATTACGCTTACATGAGTACGTATACATAGATACGTTTACATGAGTGCGCTTACATATACGTTAGTAGGATAGACATCACTAGGTGTTATAGCATGGAACGAGTTCAGGATCTAACTATCCCGATGAATTGCAACACATTGTGATAGTTATATCGGGTATACATGATCATAGTAATGTGGATGTTCACGGCTTGCATATACGTAGGGGTCGTGTAAAGGTCCCAAAATCCCTTTGATAGGGGAGCGTTTAGCCTGGGATCTAGCCATCACATTATGCCTTATCCCTCAAATAAGGCAATAGGAGTACAAAGGCAGTCACTTATTACAAATACTGCAATACTTACGAGATTACCCTAGAATTAAGGTAATTAGTACGGTTGTAGTTCGACACTACACCATAGTACTATTTCATTTTCCCATTACATTCACTTCGTGAACATTCACACGACGCACGATAATGTAGAAACTATATTTTTGGTTAATGATAGTCAGACTTGGGAAAATACACCTCTTACAAGAGACACACACAAACACTAGATGCCTTGGTAGAAGGCTACATATAGATCAGTTACGTCTTAGTAGAAGACTCCATGTTATAATAGCAGGAGTCATAGGGATTTCTAGAGTTTTTCAAACGTTTACAGTAATTTTACATACATATTCAATACTTAAAATTCATATACATACAAATTCTTACATACAAATTAAGACACTAAAATACTTATGATCTCACCAGCTTTAAAGTTGATACCCTCTTTCAAAATAACTTGTATCCTCAGGTCAACCATAGACAGGTACCGATGCAAGGTTCAGGAAAGATGGGGCTCGTTCAAGACGCCTCTTTCATTTTGATTTATGCTTTAGTGTTTATCAAGATTTGACAGAACACACTTGTATTAAAATTATATTATTAATGCAATGGATGATGTTGTTGTTTGTTTACAACTTTTCATTGTTGTGATACTGTACATGACGTCCTCCGCCCCAGAACGTTTCCACCGTTCTTGGTTTTGGGGTGTGATAGGTTTCATATGTGAAATTTTTGAGTGTCCGGCTTCACAATGCAAGGTCCGACAACCCCGTTAAGCCATGTTTAAGGGTCCTACAGAATCCCGATGAGTGTGCAATAGTGTTTTATCGGTTTGGTTCATTACTTACCACAATTTTAGGTTAAGGAAATCTAGATATATGAACTTTTCAGTTGATGAATTCTCATTAGAATAGTGAGTTGTACAGTAATTACATAATGTAAACCCTAGTATACAAGGGTTAACTGAGTTGACCGGTTTGACTTGTTGACTTTGTTTGACTTTGACTTGACCAGAATTTGATGGTTGTCACAAAGTTAGGGGTTAACTCAAAGAGCTGGACCTTCACGAGATTTCTGAGAAACAAGTATACTCGACGAGTCACATGAGTGCACTCGGCGAGTCAGGTCAAACTTGGACTGTTGACTCGAGTTTGACTTTTGTTGACTTTAGGTTTTGGTCAACATGAGTAATGGAGACCATGGAAGGGTAAAATGGTCCTTTACCCATTCCAAGAGTTAGAGAGAGAGAGAGAGAAAACAACCGTTGGAGTATCTGAGTATGAGTAGAGTATTAAATAGAGATAAATATCCTATGTGTTAGGCGGAGGCTAGTTCTAGATTTCTTAGTACGAGACTTTTACTTACTAGCTTACGAGGTAAGTTTTCTCACTATACTTACCAAGAGTGGTATCCTTGTGTGATCTAGATGTTTATTGTGCTTACACTGTATCTTAATATTCTGCATTATGTCTTTCTGATTAATGCTGAGTGTTATTATTATGAGCTTATTGGGTTGAGGCCGGAGGGTCCCACTGAGACACATTGACCAGAAAGTCTTATTTGAGTTATAGCCTAGAGTGGCTAATGAGTTGTGTATTGTATTTTGGAGAACTTACTAAGCTTCATGCTTACCGTGTTATGTGTTATGCGTTTCAAGTACCTCTCAGGATCACGGGAAGACACCGACTTGATTGTACACACATTAGAGTTTGAGTTATGATTAAGAGGATCATGGATTTTTGATATATACAGTTTTTTGGATATGAGATTTGATGATTTGACATTGTGACATTTTTGTGATTTTATTATTTTGACAAATGTGTTTTTAAATTAAAAATTTTGTTTTGAAAATTTATGTCGTTACAGTTCAACATATAAATATCACACCATTAGTAAAGTAATTTATAGAATAATAAAAATTAATATTCTATGATGCAGGTGAAACACATATACGATAGGAAGGGTTAGATGGTTAAAAGTCTAAAAAGTTTCAAATCCCACACATCTAATATCAATTGTAAAAGTCAAAAGAAAATACTTTTTTAATACTATAAAAATGAAAGAAAATAGTTAACTCAACGATTAGATAACGATTATTTGTAAATGAGAAAATTACACAGATATAAACGAGAAGATTATTTGCTACTTAAATTCTCATCAAACTTTTTTTTTTCCTTTGAATCAACCCCCCCCCCCCCCCCCCTTCCTCAATTCGACCTTGCTTATGTATTCATCACTTCGTTTATATTTATTTTGAAATTTGACTTTAAAAAATACCTAATATTTACACCAAGATACTTAACTTTTTCTTAAAAAAATGTATAATATTTATATCATCATATATAACTTTTTTTAATGAACTCATGTAGTACGCATGTCTCACAACTAGTTTTTTCAACAAAACAAACCACTACACATTCACACCCATTTTTCATAGGTATGCAAAAAAAAAAAAAAAAAACGAAACCAAACAAAAAAGCCCGATCCATTTGAAAAGCCGATGGTTTGGTTTTTGTTTTTTGAAAAACCAGTTTTTTAGGTTCACTTTGGCTTTTTTGAAACCGAAAAAAACGAACCGAACCAAAATATACAAAATGACATCGTTCTACATATAAATATCACACCATTAGTAATTTATAGAATAATAAAAATTAATATTCGATGATGCAGGTGAAGCACATATATAATAGGAAGGGTTAGATGGTTAAAAGTCTAAAAATATTCAAATCCCACGCATCTCATATCAATTGTGAGAGTCAAAAATGATTGCTTTTCTATTCTATAAAATGAAAGAAAATAGTTAATTAGCAATCACATAACCAATTATTTGTAAATGAGAAGATAAGTTACACGCATATAAATAATTCACATAATCTTTTTTTATAGTAATTTTCATTTTATTTAAATGGTTGAGACATTTCATATTTGTATTTGAGTATATATTAAATAATTATGAGCTTTTAAAATCCAATGAGCATAATCAAATAATTTGTTAATGAAAAATCTAAAAATAAGAATTAACTGAATAACAGAAAAAACGCGAAGAACAAATAAAACCAAAACCGAAAAAAACCAACAGTTTGGTTTTTCAAAATTAAAAACCAAACACTTTTGTACGGTTTTGGTTTTAATTAACGACAAACCGAACCATATTTACCTCTAACTTTTGTTATCAATTACATACATTTTATTAATATTTAAATTAATAAACAAAATTTAAAAACAACGAAAGGTCTGATATCAATCAAAATTCTTTATAGAAATTAATAATTAAAATTTAAAATTATTTTTATACATAAAAAGTGTTTACAAGTAAAACCGTGTCTCGTGATCGATACACAAATTCATATACAATATGTATCTTATCGACTTATTCTTCTCAAACAGAATATCGCCTCAATTCTTTTATATATTTATTTAAAATAAACAGAATCCTTGTAGATTTCAAATATAACTTTCCTTTTCGTAGTTCTTGACTTGACGTACTACTCGTCCCTACAACCGTTCCCTATAAATACAAATCCTAACACAACCTTTTCAAAACACCATTAATCTTCAAAATCTTTCCAGATTGCAAATATTCATCAGAGAAAAATTCAAGGACAAAAGATGACAGGTTTCAAGTTCAATTTGGCATTGATGATGGCGTTCATGCTTGCATCTGTGCAGTTTCAAGGCACGGTGGCTCAAACTACCCATGTGGTCGGCGATGCCTTGGGCTGGAATATTCCTCCCAACGGACCTTCTCTTACACCACTTGGGCATCAACTCAAACCTTCAGAGTCGGCGATGTTCTTCTCTTTAACTTCATCACCGGATTTCATAACGTTGCTGAAGTCTCGCAGGCGGCTTACGGCCCATGCACCACCGCCAACCCAATCTCTATCTCCACCGTCGGCCCTGCTAGAGTCACCTTGAAAGCACCTGAAACCCACTATTACGTCTGCACCGTTGGAACTCATTGCCAAATTGGTCAGAAGCTAACAATCAACGTCTCCGCCACGTCTGCCACCCTTCCACCAGCACCAGCACCCGCCACTCCTGCTCCCGTTTCTCCACTCACAGTTAGCACCATTCTACCACCGCCATCGCCCAGTTTTGCTCCATCTTTCACCGCCGTGGTACCCGTCAGTTTCTTGGCGATGGCTTTAGCTTTCTTTTATTAGATCCAGTGTTTACTTAGGCTGAGATATGTGTACGTAATTTGCTTTTGTTTGAGTTTTCTTTTTTTGATTTTATTCATATTTCATGTACGCAAGGAGATTGATATTGCTCTATACTGTTTATGTGAGTAAGTATTTCTATTATATTCGTCTTTTCTCAAAAAAAAAAAAAAAAAACTACCACGTTAGATAAACTATCAAATAAATTCAAATAAATTCAAATAAACATCAAATATATCATCTATAAACTATCTAGTAAATCCAAAATAACATTATCCATAACATAAAACAAGAAATATTTGGCATCTTCGCTTCCCCATCGTTGTTGATTTGGTTCTTGAAAGAACGGATAATATCTCCAATTGTGGTCACAAACGTCGGGATTTAAAAAAAAACATTAACATCCACATCCTACAAAGTATATATATAAGTTCAAAAATACAGACTTTATCATTAACAATTTAACAAACTATCAAACCACCAAATTAATTAATGTGTTAACAATTTAACAAACTATCAAACCAACAAATCAATTAAATCTTTAATAATTTTACAAACTACCAAACTACAAATGCATAACAAATGAATTAACCACTTAACAAATAAAAGTATCAAACTACCAAAAATTACTATAAATGCATCAGGTTCTTGACAGTATAGCAAAACCATCAAATTCTTTAAGAGTTTAATAAGTATTAGTGTTGGTTATGGTGCTTGTGACTTTGACTACCATTGGGATGGAGCACTTGTACCCACTGTAGAAGGAGTTTAGTCCTAATGCCTCTCACATGCCCCATTCAAGCACCTAACACCTTCTCAAATATTGTGATCCAATCAATGGAGGTCGGATCACCATCGGATTCGGTTATGTTTTGAGTCTTTAAAACAACATCACTAATTAAAGCATTTTGTATTTCATAAAGATTGTTAATATACTTCAAAAAAAAAAAAAAAAAACAATCTACTTCAATTTAAAGTAATAAAAACAATAATATTGGTCTTCAACTAACAAGATCAACAAATTCCCTTGTTTATTCACATGCCCACGGTGAAATGACTCAAATCTATTCATATTCTATTTGATATTACAAAATATATTATACTTGAATAAACATAAAAAATATATGTTATAACTGAATAAACATTACTGTATCTTACGTTTTTAAAACAAGCACTACCGTAGCTGCACACCCCTCAAGGATTCTTAACTACTTGCTTCTTCCGACATTCTTTGTTTTTAGTGGATTAGTTTTTTAGGCTTATATGTTAAGAAGTGGTCAATAGTATCACTCCAATGTTGCAGATCCATACCATCGGGGGTTCAAGCCCTTGAGGCCTCCACATCCCCTTCAAAACCAGTAATACGTGTTTTTACAATATGTTTGCAGTCTCTATACCGCACACATATTTGATTGTTTAGTGACGCCCAAAAAACTAAAGCCATGGGATAATTTGAAATCGCTCCAAAATCAAACCATGTCTACAAAAAATAGAGAAGTTAAAAATAAATCAGAATTAAGCACATTAAATATAACTTTATAAATAATTACTGGAAGATACTGGAACATGCCATCCATTTCAGCTTTAGAAACTTCTTTCCCTGTGTTCTTACCAAAAGCAATGGCGCGCTGTATATAGTTCACAGCCTCCCGAATGAAGCATTCGTACATATCCCCAATCGGCATGTACGTATTTCTACCAAATACTATCTTTAGAGGCCGTTTGCTGTTAGATTGAAATCACTTGTATATTTTTATGTTTACTGACATGCCTCTTCATTTATGAGACACCAATGCATAAAAAAATATTAGTCAAGATAGTTTTTATATACATACAATATGAAATAGAAAGAATTAGAATAAATCTTAATTGCAATCGATAAGGTGATCACCAAAACCTCCACGGAAGGTATGTGGTGGCTCATCACCACCGTCACCTCAATAGCCCATCACAACAGCCATAAGATGGAGCAATGCAATCTAAAAAATGACATCCTGTAAAATTATAACACAATATAAATATAGATACCTACAATGTGATATGATTACAAAAAATACAAACCTTACTTTACTAGTCAAATGTAAAGATTTTTTTAATCATTCTCGTCATCAGACACTTTAGTATCTGCTGACACATTACTATCATAATCAAAATCCTCCTCATCATAATCAGTCTCGTGGTCAAGCACATTATTGACAATACACATTGGCAGACTAACTTCAATATCATCTTCAACTGATTGGGAATTTTGAAAGTACTCGCTAAATTCGATTGAAATAGTGAAGTTAGAAGAAGCATTACTAAGAACGACATTGGCTGAATCATTGTCAACATTTTCAATGGGATCATGGTCGACATCGTTCAACGATAGATCCCAAATTCTTCTCTGATTAACATTTTCACAACCAATTCTTGGTCGTTATTTTCATTACTTCGAGAAAGTTCTTGGATGTAAATCACTTGATTGGTCTACGAAGCACATATGAGTTGATCTTTGCTGCTCAATTCGCGTTATGAGTTGACAGTGGTGAAATGATTATCAGATTTGAATCCTACAGTATAGAAAAACTTGCAACGATAAAATACAGTGGAATAATTATGAGGATGATGCAGCTTGATAATCTCTTCTAGAAGACCATAATATTTCTTAGTATTCTCTTCATGATCAGTTAAAACCCCCGAGTTTTGTGTTGATTATTGGGCATCACACATAAGTACCATAAACCTAACACCATTCACTATGCAAGTGGTGTAATTACAGGCATTCGCATGCGTACCAATGGAAAGAGACAATAACTCCTTGTTAAACTCTTGTAATTTTGTTTTTGAATATCATAGACGATGTGAAGAAACCATTTAAGGGATTTGGTTTTTTCATCAATTTCTAGATGTAATCATTTGAATTCGCTACAATGATTCAAAAAGATATTGATTCAACAGGTCAGGCAGAGGTTACTGACGAACCAGAGTCGCCTGAAGAGTTATGCAGACAGGTGGCGATCCGAGCTAGAGTTCTAGGTCGGAGATTCTGTCATCCTAAAGGTATCCCCATGGAAAGGGGTGACCCGATTTAGGAAACAGGGCAAGCTGGATTTCTGATACATCGGTCCTTTCAGGGTGACTGCCAGAGTGGGTAGGGTAGCATATTGGTTGGAGCTACCTGCAGAGTTGAGTCATATCCATAACACCTTCCATGTGTCCCAGTTGGGGAAGTGTGTAGCCGATGAGATGGCAGTGGTGCCTTTAGAGGACATTTAGGTCGATCCGAGCTTGAATTATATTGAGAGGCCGATTGCGATCTTGGATCGAAAGGTGAAGGTTCTGAGGAACAAAGAGGTGTCCCTGGTTCAGGTCCCGTGGCAACATCGGAGGAGGTTCGAGTTAACTTGGGATCCGGAATCCGTAATGCGAGAGCAGTACCCAGAGCTATTTCCAGAGCATGACTCGATGGCGAAGTCTGATTCTATTGGGGGAGAATTGTAACATCTGGATTCCCAGTTATATTGTTTATTTATTAATTTTTGAGGACTATTGAGCAACTCGACGAGTTGGTGCTACAACTTGTCGACTAGATTCGCGTTGTGCCATGTGGGATTAATTATCTACTCGATGAGTCAGAGAGTCGACTCGCCGAGTAGACGTTGTGAAGTGAAACCCTAAATTCCTGGGTTTGGGGCCTATTTAAGGATGCCTATAGCGTCATTTGCGGCTCAACAACTGCTTACCTTCATTGAGAGAAACCCTAATCGCCCTTTGAGCTAATAGAGACAGTGTTGAGCTAATATTGAGTATCTTGGTGCATCTTTGCAAGAGAAGAGAAGGATTTAAAGCAAGAGATCTGTTGCTATTCATCCAGGAGCTTCTGTAAAGGTATAAAGTTTATACCTTTCTCACTAGTTTAGGTAGATATCATATAATTGGACTTTATGGCTTCTTTTCCATCTAATATTGGGACTTTGAGTGTATTAAGCACATATAGAGATTTGGACATCAGATCTGGACCTTGTGAGGTCCCTAGAGTCCAAAGGTCACTACTTTATTCAGCCATAATAGAGCCTTTGATTGAAAAACCGTTAATAGAGCATGTTCTTGGCATTTCAATTCCTAAGTGTCATGCATCAACGTAAAGCTCGTTGGTTTACATGATAAGCGATCCTTGAGAGCTTAGATATAATGTGTGTGAGGTTTTTCTGCCTTGAAGCCGTCTGAATACAATATGAGTCTGAATGGACTCGTCGAGTCGATGAGTCGACTCGACGAGTTGGTTACGGTTGTCTCGATGAGCTGGACCATGCAATAGCTCGGCGAGTTAGGGGTTAACTCGACGAGCTAAACCTTAACGAGACTTCTGAGAAACGAGTAGACTTGATGAGTCACATGAGTGCACTCGGCGAGTCAGGTCAAACTTGGACTGTTGACTCGAGTTTGACTTTTGTTGACTTTAGGGTTTTGTCAACATGAGTAATGGAGACCATGGAAGGGTAAAATGGTCCTTTACCCATTCCAAGAGTTAGAGAGAAAGAGAAAACAACTTTTGGAGTATCTAAGTATGAGTAGAGTATTAATTAGAGATAATTATCCTATGTGTTAGGCGAAGGCTGGTTCGAGATTTCTGAGTACGAGACTTTTACTTGCTAGCTTACGAGGTGAGTCTTCTCACTATACTTACCAAGAGTGGTATCATCGTGTGACCGAGATGTTTATTGTTCTTACACTGTATCTTAATATTCTGCATTATATCTTTCTGATTAAGGTTGAGTGTTATTATTATGAGCTTATTAAGTTGAGGTCGGAGGGTCCCACTAAGACACATTGACCAGAGGGTTTTATTTGAGTTATAGCCTAGAGTGGCTAATGAGCTGTGTGTGGTATTTTGGAGAACTCACTAAGCTTCGTGCTTACTGTGTTATGTGTTATGCGTTTCAAGTACTTCTCAGGATCACCGGAAGACACCGGCTTGATTGTACACACATTAGACTTGGAGTTATGATTAAGAGGATCCTGGAGTTTTGATATATATACAGTTTTTCGATATGAGATTTGATGATTTGACATTGTGACATTTTTGTGATTTTATTATTGGGACAAATGTGTTTTTAAATTGAAAATTTGAATTTGAAAATTTACGTCGTTACAGTTCAAAATATAAATATCACACCATTAGTAAAGTAATTTATAGAATAATAAAAATTAATATTCTATGATGCAGGTGAAACATATATATGATAGGAAGGGTTAGATGGTTTAAAGTCTAACAAGTTTCAAATCCCACACATCTCATATCAATTGTAAAAGTCAAAAGTGAATACTTTTTTAATACTATAAAAATGAAAGAAAATAGTTGACTCAACAATTACATAACGATTATTTGTAAATGAGAAGAGAATTTACACAGATATAAATGAGAAGATTATTTGCTACTTGAATTCTCATCAAAAAAAATTTCATTTGAATCAAACACTTTTCCCTCGATGCACACAAACTCAGACCTTCAGAGTCGGCGATGTTCTTCTCTTTAACTTCATCACCGGATTTCATCACGTTGCTGAAGTATCACAGGCGGCTTATGGCCTGTGCACCACCGCCAACCCCATCTCCATCGTCATCACCGGCCCTGCTAAAGTCACCTTGAAAGCACCTGGAACCCACTATTACGTCTGCACCGTTGGAACTCATTGCCAAATTGGTCAGAAACTAACAATCAACGTCTCCACCACGTCTGCCACCCTTCCAGCAGCACCAGCACCCGCCACTCCTGCTCCCGTTTCTCCACTCACAGTTAGCACCATTCTACCACCGCCATCGCCCAGTTTTGCTCCATCTTTCACCGCCATGGTACCCGTCAGTTTCTTGGCGACGGCTTTATCTTTCTTTTATTAGATCCGGCGTTTATTTAGGTTGAGATATGTGTACGTAATTTGGTTTTGTTTGAATTTTCTTTTTTTAATTTTATTCATATTTCATCTACGCAAGGAGATTATTGATATTGCTCTATGCTATTTATATGAGTAAGTATTTCTATTATATTCGGCTTTTTTCAAAAAAAAAAAAAAATAAACAAAAACAAAAACAAAACCTGGGACTACACCACTACGGAATCAATATTACTACGTCATAATTGGATGTTACAATTATGATAAATTTTAGAAAAGGGGAGCTCGACTTGTTCTTTTTATAATTGAATTTAAAGATATGGTGGTAACATGAAAGACTAACCACTCATCTTTACGTGAAGATCCTTCAGGAGTGACGTAAATTTTATGCTCTAAAGGGTTGATATATAACTCTTACTATACGCACGTCTTTTGCCTTTGCAGAAATCCTAAAACACCTCCAATTGGGAATAGTTACTGATTTTGATAATGGATTTCAGTCCAATCTTGTTGTCTACAAAGAAATCTTATTATAAATGTGAGGATTGATAAATTTGAAGCTCACAATTTCTTCTGACATGGATGACCATAGGAAAAGACACAGCTTCAAACTCTTTGGTGGATGATTTTTTTTTTATTTTTTTATTTTTTTGTTGGGTGGGAGAGATGATAAAACCAAACCACCTCATGTATTTGAGGAAAAAAAATGGTAAATAATGTTTTATACCTAGTCTTACTCTAATTTTTTTTAACCATTTTTAACCCCCAAAAACATAATTATGGTATATTTGATCTCGTAACTTACTAGATTGTCAAACACACATTTTTATTAACACAATAAAAAACCTTACCTTTAGTGACCACAAAAAAAATTCGCATTGATTCCGACAGTCATCGCTAAAGGGTCGACGCTATTATCTCGTTGCCAATACTTAATTGTCGTCGCAATTACTATCATCGCTAGTACTCGTCGTTGCTAAAAGGCCCTGTCGTCGCTATTAATGTCGCCTCTATTGATATTCCTGCCTCCAGTCGGAGTATTTTCCGGCAACGCTTCCCACAGGTGTCGTCGCAATTGGCGCATGTCATTGCAAATGCTGTCGCCCCTAATGTTTTTTTAACAATTTCTTTATAATAGTAGTTTATATATTATAAAATGCAGGTTTTTAAAAAATACAGAAAATTATGCATACCATATTAAATAAAACATCAAATAACAAAAAAATACATACCAAAATACATGAAACGTTAAATATACCACATTACATAAACTATCTAATAAATCCACATAAACATCAAATATGTCATCCATAAACTATCTAATAAATCTAAAATAACATCATCCATAACATAAAACAAAAAATATTTGACGTCTTCGCCTTCCCCATCGTTGTTGATTTGGTTCTTGAACGAACAGATAATATCTCCAATTGTCGTCACAAACGTCGGGTTTTAAAGAAAAACATTAACATCCACATCCTACAAAGTATGTATATAAGTTAAAAATACATACTTTGTCATTAACAATTTAACAAACTATCAAACCACCAAGTGAATTAATTTGTTAACAATTTAACAAACTATCAAACCACCAAATCAATTAAGTCTTTAATAATTTTACAAACTACCAAACTACAAATTCATAACAAATGAATTAACCACTTAACAAATAAGCAAAGTATGAAAGTACCAAAAATTAGTATAAATGCATTAAGTTGTTGACAATATAACAAAACTATCAAATTCTTTAAGAGTTTAATAAGTATTAGTGTTGGTCATGGTGCTTGTGACTTTGACAACCATTGGGATGGAGTACTTGTACCCACTGTAGAAGGAGTTTAGTCCTGATGCCTCTCACATGCCCCCTTCAAGCACCTAACACCTTCTCAAATATTGCGATCCAATCAATGGAGGTTGGATCACCATCGAATTCAGTTATGTTTTGAGTCTTTAAAGCAACATCACTAATCAAAGAATTTTGTATTTCACAAAGATTGTTGATATACTTCAAAAATAACACACAAAAAACAACACTCTTCTTCATATAAAGTAATAAAAACAATAATATTGGTCTTCAACTAACAAGATCAACAAATTCCCTTGTTTATTCACATGCCCACGGTGAAATAACTCAAGTCTATTCATATTCTGTTTGATATTACAAAATATGTTATACTTAAATAAACATTAAAAAAATATGTTATAACTGAATAAAAATTATTGTATCTTACATTCTTAAAAGAAGTAGTACCATAGCTGCACATCCCTCAACGATTCTTGACTACTTGCTTCTTCCGACATTCTTTGTTTTCACTGGATCAGTTTTTTATGCTTATCTGTTAAGAAGTGGTCAATAGTATCACTCCAATGTTACAGATCCATACCATCGGGGGTTCAAGCCCTTGAGGCCTCTACATCCCATTCAAAATCAGTAATACGTGTTTTTGCAATATGTTTGCAGCCTATATACCACACACATATTCGATTGTTCAGTGGCGCCCAAAAAACAAAAGCCAATTAAAAGAGACAATAACTCCTTGTTAAGCTCTAGTAATTTTGTTTTCGAATATCATAGACGGTGTGAAGAAACCATTTAAGTAATTTGGTTTTTTCATCACTTTCAGGATGTAATGATTTGAATTCACTACATTGATTAAAAAAGATATAGATTTAGTAAAAAGAGAGAAGTTAAAAAATATACAATGAATTAAAAAAATAAGAACACTTACACAATAAACTTTCTGACTTAATCACAACTATCAAGTACAAACCATTGTAGATATTTTCTCTCCTTTATACCGAGACTTTTCATTTTCTTTGTGCTAGTCGGTCAACATTTAGACTGAAACACCCATAACTTTGTTTCTTCTATGACAACATCCTCGTTTCTTTCGAGGCGATTGAATTGGGTCTCTACATCTTCAAGGTGCATCGAACAAAATGATAATGCCTCTTTAGTGACATAACCTCAACTATAGAATCTTCCAGCTCGCCTTGTATCTGACAAATTTTTTAGTTTTTTCATATACCTTTCAAAGGGATACATCCATCTTATACACATCGGTCCTCCGAAAATAGCTTCATTAGGTAAATGCAAAACTAAATGAACCATAATATCAAAAAACACAAGAGAAAAGATCACTTCTAATCTGCATAATATTTAAATAATGGATACTTTCGCTTTTTTCATATCCTTCACCGATAGTCTTCTCGAGAAAAGTAGCTTAAAAATGTAAAAAGCTTTACTATCAGTGTATAAGTACCTTTAGGGAAAATCCCTTTAACTCTAATGGGTATCAAATGTTGAATAAGAATGTGATAATCATGAAATTTCATCCCAATAATGTTAGTATTATTTTCATTCACTTTCTTACTGATGTTGGATCCAACCCCATCTGGCAGTTTCAAATCTCTTAAACTTACAAAAACGAAGGCGATCAGTTTTTATGAACGAGTAAGATGGATGGGGTTTAACGAACTTGTTGCTACTCCTTTTTAACCATTGACTTTTATGAATGTTTATTTTTGTCAAGTCGGTCCAAGAATTTGATGTGTCCTTAGACTTATCATTCATCAGAGAAGTAGCAAAAATACACTCACTTACATTTTTTCAATATGCATAAGATCGAAGTTTTGCTTCAGCCCCAAAGAAGACCAATACTCAAGTTCAAATAATATGCGATTTTTAGACCAATTCAAATCGACATCCTCACAATCTCTCTTAATACCAGCACATTGAGTAGTTACTTACCTGGTGGACGAAACACTAGACGAGTGTGTTGTACTTGTATTTCTTGCTCACTAAATTGTCTTAGAGGGTCTCATATATCGTATTGGCTATTATAGTCCAAACGTTTTCTCCATGGATGGTCAACATCTATTAACCTTCGATGACCAACATTTACATGGAGCGTATGTGGTTAACCGACAAGTCAATGAGAGAATAATTTTAAATCGAGGGTTATGTGGTTTTTCATGGTTAATTCAAAATCTATTCAATGACTCACGACATCCCCATCATTGAAATGAGATTAGCGTAATATGAGATTGACATGCCATTGAATGTCAATTAATCTTAAATGATCTAAGTGTTTGAAAAGATTAGATTTGGCAATGTGCATTTCCTACCTAAACAAATTTGTTGTGTGTTTACCACACCCCTTTTCACATTGCAAAGCCAAATATGGGTCATAACCTTAATTAATAATTCATTTAAGATGAATAATAATTTTAAGGATGAATTCAAACTAACTAAACTTTCATCATGTCGATGTCGAACGTGAACAATAACCCTCTTCCTCTTTCTCCTCCTCCACCACCTCACTCCATATCCAATATCTCACTTATATTAGTCCTTACAAGGGCGAAGCTTACAGGTCAGAACTATTTGGACTGGATTCATATTTTTAGGATTTACTTTAGGTACATGGGGACATATTATATCTTCGATCAAGATTTCCCCTTATTAGACGATGACTCATCTGAAGAGGAAGTGTTTTCTTAAAATTAATTGCATTTTGATGAATCTACAAAAGTTTCTTGCATCATGTTGGCGACCATGTATTTTGAACTCTAAAAGAGTTTCTAGAGCTTTGAGCATTCAATAAAATGAGCATCATAAGGAATTATTCCAAGTGTAAGCTCATTAAGAAATATGTGATATCATAAAATACTTTATCGCTTGTAAACATCAAGATGGGACTTATATATGTTCGCACGCTCAAAAAATGAAGTTATACATTGAAAAATAATAGAACTCGGGAGTCAAGTTTCCAAACAAGTTGGCCATGACATGATCCGTAACTAGATTTATACTTCGTATCATGCGTTCATTATGAACTGTAATATGAACAACCTCGAGAAGACCCTTATCGATTTTCATGACATGTTGAAAACTAATGAAGCTAGTATGCTTAAGACTAAAAGCTCCAACACTCATGCTCTTGTCTTTTCCATTTGGCATGGTGGTGTTAATAACATGTATAAGTTTTATCATCCCAAGGTTAA